TAACTATAGTAAGAGAAAAATGTTTTGATACTTGGGTATTTTTTTGTATTTACGATAATTAATTCCTATTATAGTTGTCTGCGAACTTCATTTCTAATTTAAGGAACACATCACGTCTTTAGGTATTCTGACAATTTTCTAATTCATATCAACGTGCTTCAAAAAAGTTTTAGTAATCGTTAAGTTGTTTCTTCATTCAATATACATTTTTATCAATTCATTGTAAATAACTCAACTCTAATAAAAGTTAATAAGTATACGTTTCAAGTTATTTCTATGTACCCATTAGTTTATGCACAAACGCTTAAAACCAGAGCAACCAGAGACTTTGAAGCTTGACGTGCTTTTGACAGCTGAATAATGTTGCCATATCAAAACTTTTCAGATAACACTAACACGGACACGACACGCTTTCGTTGGCCAGAATCTACTACTACTACTACTAGGTAAAGAAAAAAATATTTGAAATTATATCTTGGCTAGTATACATTAATAGTGCCAATGCGAATGCAAATAAAATCAATAAAAAACTATCTATTCAGCAATTTTAGAAATAAACGGAAACAAATAAAGAGACAAAGTAATAGAAAGCGAAAGAAAGGCGGAGAAAAGCCTTGATATCTTACAAATAAATGGTTATTTTCGAGATATTAAAGCAAAACTAAATTGAAGGAATTTTATACTTAGATTTTTCTTAATTGGTAATAATATAGCTGTTACTAATTTTATAACTCTATAACTCGTTATTATATTTTGTAAGCTGTAATATTGTACATTTAAAGGTGTTTTTTTGATATTCTAAATGTTGTTTGCCTTTTCATAAATTTTGATTGTCGTTATCACCTATAATTCATTTACTACTGTACCTGGTTTATTTTTTGTGTATGTTATAACGAGTCTAGTATGTATTTTTTTGGTCGTCTAATAAATAAATAATTTGTTTATCTTAGAGCTAAGCGCTATCGCCATCTATGTATCATCGACTGAGTTAAGTGTCTTAGTACTCTACATTTGACTCTGTTTCTAAAGAAGTTGCAAAAGCTTCTCAAAGATGGTACTATTAAAACTTAAAGGAGCGCCTCTAGGTGTTTTTTATATATTAAATTCTTTATACAGCCACCCCTTTGGGAATTTATTACTAATAGTACTTATGTGTTGTGAAATGTGACCATTCTTTTAGCGTTAAGAATACACACTTTCGCGCACACAAACACACACATACACACACACAAATATTCACATAATATAAATATATAGAATATCAATAAAACCTCGGATAATCGAATCTGCGAGATCCTACCCAGTGTCATATCAGTATGAAGTTACTAAGATAAGGGTAGTTATCATAATTCAATTTAATTCCTTTCCAATACCAAATTGGCTGCGGTCAGTATTCGGTTACAATTATTAATATCATGAATATATGAACTAAATGCAATAAACTACGTATACGTAACGTAACTTATGTTAAATATTTAATGAAAAATGTTTTATATTAAAAACAAATCTATACCACGGTAACCGTACATTTTTCCAGGGTGATATATGGCTTATAGTCTTCCTCAATAAACGAGATATCTAATGCAAAAAGAATTTTTCAAATTAGAATAGTAGTTCCTGAGATTAGCGCGTTCAACAAACAAACAAACACTCTACCTCTTCATAATATTAGTAAAAATAGTATACATTATTAAACGGCAATAACCTAAAGAATCTATCAATCTTACATGGTTGAAAACAATCAAACGATTATCATGATTAATTAACTTTGACAGACGATTAAGAGATTTCATTTTTTAGGGTTCCATTGCCAAAACGCAAAAACGAAACCCTTATGATTTTGAATATGAATAATGTGTTGTTTTTAAAACTTGTAATAATTATAATGTCTAATATTTAATTTTAAAACTATATAAAAAGTTTAGATTTTTTGAATCTCAAGTTTTCTTTCCGTTGAGTTTACAAAAGCTCTGGATAATTTGTGCTTTGGTATGGAGAAGACAACGTATAACTATATGGCCTAAATTAATAATGCTTCTTCCTTGCCTTCCCTTGTTTATTTCATGTTCGTCGATAATAATAAGTAACAATAACATATTATCTATATTCTATACATAAAATAAAATTCTGAGTCGAAACTGTAGATTAAATATTTTTTGGAAACTCTGATTGAAAGATTGATATATTATTATCGATACAGAGGCTGGATCTATAGTTTTTAGAATTTTTGTCTGTCTGTCTGTCGGTCTATGACCGCATCACGAGAAAACCACTGGACAGATTTTGATGAAGTTTGGTATGATGATAGCTAGTTATTCGGGTCAACCAATTGGATATGGTTTTACTGCGGGAAAATATCTATACTAAACGTTTAAACCTAACTAGGGACAAACCCGAGCGGAGCGATTGTGAATCGCTAGTAACATATAACCTTCGATAATAATAAGTTATAATTACATATTATATAACATATAAGCTTCATTTTAAATTACACTTAAATTCGTCGAACTATTTCAGCGTAAACAAGTAACAACCATATTCACTATTATTTTTCTGATTTATATTATAGTATAAAAAACTAATAGAAATTTGACTGAAACAAAAAAGATAGTTTTAAACATTTTTTCTACGTTCAAACAAATAAATTTTACCCCTTTTACGTAGCAATAGAAATCGGTTTTAAATTAATTACGATCGACGTATGTTATATAATCTCTTTTTACTTTCACTTCCGCTAAAGCGTCACAATGCTTATTTTATAAATAAAAAGTTCTAACAAAAAAGCGGTTCTTGTTAAAATCCTAATGCTAAAATCACTTTATTATTTTCATACATAAAATCAACCTTTATATTTAAAGTAAAATATATAAGTAAAATAAATATGATCGTCGAATAATTCATATAAAACTAGCGTTTTCCTGCGGCTCCGCCAGCATAGTACATTAATCACCAACATATCATATACTAAAACCTTCTCCGAAACATGCTGCATCTTATGATATGAGTATTATTCCGATCGGTTCAGTAGTTATCGCAGTATAACCGAACAAAAAATCGGCTCTCCATTTATTAGTATAGATTAGTAAGATGAACTTGAATAAATAATATGACACGAGCGAAACAAGGGTTAGCCTAGCCTAGTAGGTAGTTATAAATTGTCTCACTCACTCATGTCCATTTTTTTTATAATTGTTGCTTTATTATAGAGCTATTCACGCTTACTTATACGCCAGTATAGGTACATCACTACATTTACAATAGGGAACAGATAACCAAAGCAAAACTTGCTTAAAGTAAGATAGACAAACAGATGGTGTAGACATATTAATAGTGACAGAAATTACCCTTCGCATAAAAACCTTAAAACATAGATAATCATTACCTACATCTACATTACAAGTCAATCTTCCTAAAGTAGGATTCATAATTATGTGGTTAAAGAGAAAATATTAGTAATAAAAATAATTACGCACGCAATATCGTACTTAAAAATTAGTTGTAAAAAAACGTCAATAAATATTTTTTTGACATTAACACACAACATCTAGTTCTATGGTAAGCTACGAGGCTTGTGTTATGGATACCAGATAGTTGATACACGACACATATATAACTTTAAATACATACATGTTATAAATATAAACACCCATGATTGGAGTACAGTCATCGCACAAATCGCACTCATCACACAAATGAATGCTCCCAGCGGGACTCGAACCCGCGACCGCTGGCACAGCACTACAAACTGAGCCAAACATGTCGTTTTTTTTTCCTCTATTTTAAAACAAAGCTTATTTATAAGATTTATGTATATAGAGATAAAGCACATTTTGGCCTTTTTTAAAGTATTTATTGTATACCAATCGGGGAGCACGGCAGTGCCCCCGCCAAGTCGAGCAAAAAAAGGGCACGGTAGTACCATCCTTTTCTCGAATAGAATTGACGTCTACAAGTCAATAATAGGGAATATGCATGTGATTTAAATAAAGGTTAAATATTTTTTTTAAAAAGCTTTATTGCCTTTGAATAAAGCCTATATACATTTTTTATTGTAATTTCTTTTTGATTGAGAAAACAATTATTAAAAAGTGCAAACATAGGTGGGAAATTCAAAGTAGTTGAAACGGACGCCATTACTCAGACCGAATATGATGTCAAACTTAGATTATTTATATGTCTAATAATCTAAGATGTCAAAGTATTATCTTAAGAGAGTGATTAGAGATTTTGTCGCTACAAATTGAGTCGTCATTTTTCTGTGTGTGTGTGTGTCATACTGTGACGTCACGCCGATCGAGCGAAATGGCGGGTGTCTAAAGTATCCGTATCGATAATTATTATTATCGATAATTATTTTTTATAGTAAATTTTAGTTTTTTGAAGCTAGATATATATTTTTTATAATTATATGACGACGTTAGCTATTGTATAAAAAAAATAAAAAAGATCAAGCATATTCCCTATTCTGTATTAAAACACTTTCGGTAAATTGGTCGTTTGGACAAATAAGCACTGAGATGACGATTACTAATAACCCAAGTAAGTACTCGTAATCACTATGGTGTGTTCGTTAAAAGTGAAAATTTACCCAATGCATAGGTACCTTCAAAGCAAAGTCCGAGATATGCAAGTAATATAGCTGTAGTGTCCATGTAATAAAAATATATGGGATAAAACTTATATTATTACTCACACTTCTCTAGCTTTAACATAACTCACATTAAAACAACATTGTATAGAGAAATGTATGTATGTATGTATATCCCTTTACACAAACTGACTGAATGATTATGATTAGAAAATTAGTAATATAATATACAGTATATTAATAGAGCTAATGATTTTTGTTTTGTAAAATATATCAATTCTATATATTTTAGTGTATTACGCATGTTTTAAAAACAGCAGAAACTGAGTATGGTCACCATAACATAAATTTTATAACTAGTGAAAGTAGCCTCTCGTTCTCGTAAACTCGTCAGAACGTCACCTGACACACGATGGTGAGTGCATATACTTAATATTTTTATAAAATCTCTATATATATATTTTTATTTTATTATAAAAATATCTAATGACATAGCTTATTTAATTAGCGGAAATTAGTGCTTAAGTCCCTCAATTATGTTTAACAATAAGAAGTTCCCAGTTAATAAAATAACGTTTTTAGTCAATTTGTGAAAGTGACACCTTTTGATTCAAGTTTTGTTATTTAAAAGTTTGGTTTTTTTGTAATAAATACCTGCTTTGTTTACACTAAAACTTGTAGTTAGTTAGATTCTCAGATACTACTGATGATCAGTGAACCAAAAGTGGCACGTGAGTTTTATTTGTTAATATTATTATAGTAATTAAGATGTAGATATGTAACTTAATAGCACGAGATCCTGATGTATGAGATGAACCCCTCGCTCTTTTTCTGAACATAATATATTTTTTTAACAATAAAACATATTAACAAACACGACCTAGGGGGGTTATCACCAAAAATTAGCTCTATAGATTTTTTTAGTCTCTAAACCTGTTTGGTCAAATATTCTCTTATGTCATGTTTTATTTACTACAATCAACGATTAGTAAATTTTCTTTGTGTTTTAGTGTAAGTGAATTATTTATTTATTTATGTACCATAAAAAGTATATATAAAAATGGAAAACAGCTACTTCGTGTACAGAGGATGACTTATCTCTTTAAGATCTCTTCCAGTATCCCTCGAGGGTAATAAAAAAAAATTATGAGGTGTGATGTAGGTACAAACTAAAAACATCAATATAAACATACATACTGTTAGTTATAGTTGTTCAATTGACTTATAGATCATATTGATTCTTCATATTTTGTTAGTTATAATTTTATATTTTATAATATTAATAAGATAAGAGTGTGTTATTTTAAATGCTAATATTTAAAAGTATTGTCATCCACCGTGGGGTAATGTGTAATCTGTAGAAGATAGATGGCGCAACATTGCACCCAACGGTAGGGACATAATGTTTAAATAGCTGTGATAGTTATTTTTGACCCCCGACGTAAAAACAACGGGGTGTTATAAGTTCGACGTGTCTGTGTGTGTGTGTCTGTCTGTAGCATCGTAGCTAACGAACGGATGAACCGATTTTGATTTTGTTTTTTTTTTTTGTTTGAAAGGTAAATTAGTTGGGAGTGTTTTAGCTATGTTTGATGAAAATCGATTCAAGATGGTACGGGATTTTTTTAATTTTTAATTTAATTTAGTTATGTAGGGCATTCTGTAAAAGTAATTAAATAAAGGAGTTGCCGAAACTCGAAGTTTTACTTAGAAAATTATTAATAACAATACATTCAAACAAACATCTTACTAACAACATAATATATACATATAAAACACTAATTGACAGGAAATAATAATTATTAATACTACAAGTGACATTGAAAATACATTTGAACTACGTTCACTTTTCGTAATCAAAACTCAACAAAATCAAATTATCTACATAAATAAAAATTAAATGCCGTTCGTTTCTTATCTCACCACATGAAAATGACTATATCGATTTAATGCTTTCTTATTTTATTTAAAATGTATCGATTTAGTTATTTTTTAAATAAAGTGTTTAGCGGAAAAGTGATAAAGTTAGCCGAAAAATTAGATAATTGGGAACAACTAAAATTATTTTTCACATATAAAATTCCGGTGTGCATGTGTTCGTAACTGTTTTTAATTTTAATTAAACCTTTTAAGCGTTACCTTATGGTTCTCAGTTTTAGTTAGACCCCTTGGCCGTTATATAAGTGGCGCTCTTTTCAAAATCAGTTTTTTTTAATTTTCCGACCAATGAGGTATACAGAAGAAAAAAATCTGCCCACCGGATCTGCTAATAATCCATACAAATATTATAAATCTGAAAGTTTGTGAGGATGCATGGATGGATGTTTGTTACTCTTTCACATCGGAATAGCTGAACGAATCTGGATGAAATTTGGCACAAAGGTAGATCTAGAAAGTCTAAAATAACATATAGGTTACTATTAATCCCGGAAAAATGGACAGATCCCGTGGGATAGATTTGTTTTTGTCTAGGGACGAATCCAAAGCGAAGCAAGGGTGAGTCGCTAGTTAAATATATATATTAACAATTGACGTTAGTCCAAATCAAAATCAAAATGTGAAATAAAGTTCTTAACTAATTAGTCAATCTAAACAATATTTATGAAAATTAAAGTTTGATAATATAAATAAAAGCAGTAAAGAATTTGAATTTATGACGATTCAGAGGGTTCGGTTAAATTAGAATTAAAGTAAAAATTCAGTGTAATTTCCCAGAAACTTATCAACAGATGACGCTGTCTAAGTGTTTAAAAAACACTCCCATAATTTGATTTAAAAAAAGTAGTATTTTATATGGAACTTATTTAACCTTTATATTTTCAGGGCGCTTCTCAAAGTGATCACGCATCTCACAGTAAAAGCGACCTTGTCGCCAAAATCAAGGAGAGACTGAAGACCGTCGATCCTAAAACCGCAAAAGAACTTGGAGGAGTCTTCCTGTTCAACATCATTAAGGGAACATCTGTGTATTCTTGGAGTGAGTATATAAATAGAATCCTGTTAGCTTTTAAGAAAAGCTTTTTTCTACCTACATATTTATCGATTCCAGTAGATTTTTCTTCTTTATGTAGGTACCTATAGTAACATGAATAGGGAAGCTCATGCTATATTTCTCACTTCTCTTACATATGTCATCTCCTTCTATGTCTATATAAAAAAAAGGTACATAGATTTCAAAATAGCTTATAAATAATTATTCTGCACTGTTTTAGGTGGGTGTTGAACATTTTCTTATTTATTTGGGACGATGACTTATCCATACATATAATAAAATTGTTACTAAGCCGAATCTGAACTATTATCGATACAGAGGCCGAATCTATAGTTTTTAGAATTTTTGTCTATCTGTCTGTCTGTCTGTTACCGCATCACAGAAAATCCACTAGAGGGATTTTGATGAAATTTGGTATGATGATAGCTGGTTATCCGGGTCAACATATATGATACTTTTATGAAAATGTCTTATTTCTGAGAAAAAGTACAAAAACTGCAATGTAAGAGTATACTAATATGTAAAACCTAAGAATTTGGTTTTTGGTCATCTGAACGCTAGTTCTTTTATAAAGTACTAGTTTTGGGGTAACCTATATCCGATTCAAGAATGCAATCTATATACAATATACATGCCAAATTTTATCAAAATATGTACAGTGGTTTAAGCGTAAAAAGGTAACAGACAGAGTTACTTTTACATTAACAATATTTGTATGAATTATGAATTCAAAATTGACGAAAATATCGCGTAACATACACACAATAAGTGTACAACCAATTTGAGTACCTCTTCCTTTTTAAGGCAGTCAAAAAATGCTATTGAAATTGTGGCCTCAAAACTCTCAAAATGCTCTAAAATGAAAAGAAACTCAAAAAATGCTAGTAAAATTGTAGGTGAATCAGAAACATCGTTTAATGAGTTCAAATGCATAATGAGTAAAATAATTTTTAACTATTATAATTTACTTATTTCGTCACACGTATACATATATGTACGTATATATGAAAAAAATATCAGAACAATTTTAAACTACGCCAACATGGACCTAGACTGCGTTTGATGTTAAAATAAAATAAGCTCGGTTATTCAGAAAAGCTGAGGCGGGTCTCTAAAACATAAATAAAGGGGAAGGAGGCGTAGCATAATTATTTTTAGGCTGTGCCTTCTATTTTATACCTGTTTATAACACTGTTGAAGTAGGATGTTTTAAACTATACATACACGTTGCGGACATAAGCACTAAAGTAACAGCGGTTTATTGGTTACAGGTTAACACGGAACTATGAATTTACCACAAAAGCTTATATTTTTTTTTTAATATTTTAAAAAGAATTTGAATTTCGATGTTAGAATATTGGGTTTTGTAATCGAAATTAAAAACTGGTTACTCTCAAGATATTATATCTAATACTAGCGACTCACCCTCATTTCGCTCGGGTTCATCCCTACGTTGATTCCCCATACAAACTTTCATCCCCTTTTTACCCCCTCAAGGGATGATTTCCGGGATATTTGAGACATATGGACGTATGTCCATCCCAGGGTCTCCGACTATCCTCTAACCAAATTTCATCTAAATCAGTCCAGTAGTTTCGGAGCTTATTCGGTAAAAACAAACAAACAAAAAAATCTTTCCTCTTTATAATATTAGTATAGATGAACAGAGTCACTTGTTCACAAATCTGATTCAGGCACACTAATAGCATATTTCAAACCCCCGATACTTATTTTCATTTGATGTTTTGTTATAAGCAATATAAATTGTGTCTATAACTTTGTAATAAAGATTATTATTATTAAACCAGAAGAAACATCTGAATCGCTATACAAATATTCACTCCTTGCGAAAATTTAATTTTGTTTTTTATAGTCTTCTAAAAGAAACTCTTATAGAAGAAAAAAACTAAAAAGTTAGAACGGAACTAATTAATCAAATATTTTTAAATAAACTAATAACGATATAAATCTACAATAACTAAAGATTGACGATTTTAATTTGATAACGCTTAGTATAGATTTCTCAGAGATGAGATATTTTCCCGCAGTAAAAAGTATCCTATATGTTGACCCGGACTACCAGCTATCACCATACCAAATTTCATCAAAATCTGTCCAGTGGTTTTCTCGTGATGTAACTAGGGACTAACCTGAGCGGAGCGAGGATGAGTCGGTAGTTTATTATATAATATTAAATGAGCAATTCTTGTATCTTATGAATATATGTATAAATTGTGTATCTTGCAAACGACTTAACGATTTGGATCAAATTTTGTATTATTTTGATACGGTTTAGTTTTTTAAGTTAATCTATATATACACAAGTGTTCTTATGAAAGAACGCAAATTTTTATATCCCCTCCAAAAAAACGCCGGTTGCCTAGATTCTTGTTTTAATAGGTATTGTCCTTTCAATAACATTTCTTTGAGTACCAATAAATATCTCTTTCTTCCAGCATTAGATCTTAACCAAGTTATTGTATACGAGGGGGAGCCGGAAGAAGATCCGGACACCACGTTCACTTTAAACGAGCATTATTTCAAACAACTTGTCTGTGGCAAAGAAGACCCTCGTGTGATCATGCAGGCTGGCAGGTGTTCAGTTACTGGCGATATCATGAGAGCAATGAAACTAGAACCTTATATAAAATTAGAATAAACGTATTGTATGACATTAGAATAATTATATTTAAATATAAAGTAGTTTATTTTTAAGACGAAAATGACAAATCTTTAAACGAAGTTTAAGAAAATGTTAAGTTACGGCAACTAATCTCTTACAATAAGACTAGCCATCTATGCAAAACATGTTATATTGCACAAGTGTGAACCCAAACACAAGTTATGTCTTTATTATTTAAAATGGGAAATTTACCATATAAAAATAAGTTTTTCCTTAATTTTTATAAGTACCCCATATTTTGGCTCTGTTGCAAACGCCATGATCTCATGGTGGCGACATGGTCGTGGGTATACTAAATGAAAATGGTAATATATCCCGTTTTACATCATGAAAACACACATATATCAAATACAAGTACTTCCTATCCCTTTACTTTCTTAGTGTAGTTCAGTGATATGAGAATTTGACATGATTAAAAAAACTAAGAACCTTACACTTTTTTTGGCCCAATTTGGGTTGGAACCCAGGATCTGGTAATATATAGCTTGTGTGTGTTAGTGTGCTAGCCACAAAACAATTGGTATTTAATGCTATATTTCCCATACGGGTACCTAGTAAAACTAATATTTATGCTAAGAATTTTTAATTTTGGAACAAAACTGTATTTTGATAGATTTATCTATCTTTTTTTTGTACAAAGAGCTTGGAATACGTAATCGAAAACGGATTTCGTGTCCCATACGATTTATCCGTTAGAGGGTAATTATACATTTATTAAGAATCTTGAGGCTTAGACAAGATCATCTACAACCGTTAAAGAATAGAAATTAAAAAAATATATTGACACAATTTTAATCGTTGTCATAGAATCATAACATTATATCATTCTCATTTATAATAAAACCTAGCTGTATATATATTTTTATACTGTATTTTTCCACATTTCTTTTTTTACGATCGTACAATAACATCTTGTCCAAGCCCCTAATTTTTTTAACCGACTTCCAAAAAGGAGGAGGTTCTTAATTCGTCGAAATCTTTTTTTTATGTATGTTCACCGATTACTCGGAGACGCATGAACCGATTTGGACATTTTTTTGTTTTAAAGGGTATACTTCCCAGGTGGTCATATTATATTAATTTTATCGAAATCGATTGAGCAGTTTTTAAAAAAATCAACAAATTTTTTTTTTTTAAATAAGTTGTCTAATCAAATATGTTATTAAAAAACTTTCTTCTTATAAATTACCTACTTATTACGTCTACACTAAAAATGGACAAATAAAAACTTAAAAAAAAATAACTACCGACTTCCGGGCACTAAAACTGTAAAAACTAAACAGGGATTTTCATTTAGAATAGATACCTAATCGGATATATATATATATATATATATATATATATATATATATTATCTTTTTAAATAAAATATTATATTTCGCAGTTTTTTAAGTATTGTTTTACTAAATATTTATGCAAGATATGTTAAACATTTTTGGATTAGCTCTTTCATCACAATTTTTATATATCATTCGAAAATTACTACCTATATTATGTTAAATACGCATATTGAGTATGCTAAGGTAGTACGTAAATATCATAAATGATTATAACTTATTTTATTTTTGATGCCAAGTAATTTAACTCCAGTAGTTGTTAAGATAGACCACAAATAAAAATATCATAAGCATCATGGTCTTTGATCTTCATCCAACTTCGTTCATCTTACACTTATTTTTATTTGATTGGTTAACTCAAAAAACCCAAGATATCACGGTTCAAATGTAAAAGTTACCTTTAAATGTATGACAAACGAACAGTAGTAGCCTTTGTAACTGATAATATTATAATATATATCAACTTAATGTACTTATGATCATCTATACATATAATAAAATTGAATCTGTACATTAAATATTTTTTGGAAAATCTTATTGAAATAAACATTATTATCGATACAGAGACCGAATTTATAGTTTTTAGAATTTTTGTCTGTCTGTCTGTTACCGTATCACAGAAAAACCACTGGAGGGATTTTGATGTATGGTGATAGCTGATTATCCGGGTCAACATATAGGATACTTTTTACCGTGGGAAAATGTCTCATTTCTGAGAAAAAATACAAAAACTGCAATATAACTACTACTATACTAATATGTAAAACCTAAGAATTTGGTTTTTGGTCATCTGAACGCGGGCGGAGCCGCGGGCAATGCTAGTAATATTATATATTTTATTTCTTAGACAAGCAACATAGCATTTTGACATATCAAAATGCTATGTTTATTTTGATCTCTTAAATAAAGCTATTCAATACTAAAGCTCTATAAGGAGTTCAATTTTCGAACGTGGGTAAAATCTCATTCTGATAAATCTTGTTTAGTTTTATTAGTACCTACTAACCGACTAGAACAAAATCTTTTCGTTCATTATTTTATTTTAATCTGAGATACCATAAAAAATTGAACAAGTGAAGCTGTCGACAACAAGTAGTTTTACATAAATTATCTATTGTATTTTTTAAAATGGAGCTTTTTCTGACGACCAAAGCATAATTATGTCCATATCCGAAGTTTAAGGGTTGGGAGAAAAACATGTTATCTGGTTTCTAGCGGTTACAATAAAAAATGTGCTTTCAAACTAATATCAACCTTATATATAACAACTAAAAGTCGAATATCTCTATTAAATTACAATCAAAGGATTATTTTTAAACCTGTAATAACGTACTTCAAACATGGAGGATTTTTAATTAAAAACAAAATATTATTATGTCTTTGAATTAAATATGAATTTTGCGGTGACATGTTTCCATTATGAATATGTGGAATTATAGAAATGCTAATTGATTGTTATATATATGTAATTCTCTCGTATTACATCTGTACATATAATAAAATTGTAACTGAGCCGAATCTGTACATTAAATATTTTTTGGAAAATCTTATTGAAATAAACATTATTATCTATACAGAGGCGGAATCTATAGTTCTTAGAATTTTTGTCTGTCTGTCTGTTTGTCTGTCTATCTGTCTGTCTATCTGTTACCGCATCACAGAAAAACCACTGGAGGGATTTTGATGAAATTTGGTATGGTGATAACTGCTTATCCGGGTCAACATATAGGATACTTTTTACTGCGGGAAAATGTCTCATTTCTGAGAAAAAATACAAAAACTGCAATGTAAGAATATACTAATATGTAAAACCTAAGAATTTGGTTTTCGGTCATCTACACGCGGGTGAAGCCGCAGGCAATGCTAGTAATTACTAAGTGTTTAATGCGAAATACTGTGCTTCGTGCAACATTTCCGATATAATACAATCAATGTACAATACGTACAATTCAAGAAGCAACTAATTTAGTATACAATATACATACATACTTTAAGACTCAGATTGACTAACTCTTTGGTCTTATGGCTAGCACGTCAGCCACAGATATAGATACATGCTTAGATTAGGCATTATAGAAAAAACACAACCAGACGAAATTGCAGGCAGTAAGTAATATTGAAGAAGTAACAATATTCACCCAAGGGCTTCACCCTCGAGGTAGGTACGATCAAAAGGAGCCTATATGTTACTCCAGAATATTCCTCAAACCCCCCGATGCGTGTTGATCTTCCCGTGGTGGGGGGATCATTAGTATCCAGAAATCCAGGCTTCGAAAGACTTTGACTTTGAGGATATATTCTACAGGCTATATCTCTGTTCCGAATTTCAATCTAATCCATTACTACTCCATTACATTATAAAAGAGTTACAAGAACATACAAAAACTTTCCAAATTATATGGTTTCCAATTTTTTCTTTCAGCTACCGTACCTTAAAAATTGGTGGCAAAACAAATAAAAAAACTTTACTTTTTACCGTATATATTTGAATTTACAAAATAAATGAATGCATTCCATAAATAAAACATCAAGTTCATTAAAATATTTTTGCTAAAAAATAGAAAATATATACCGTGTTATCGTCCAAGTGAAATTCAATGAAAACTGACACAAGCATTGATTTATATACAAGCGAAGCGTATTTTTATTTTATGAAACTAGCCTTTCAACCTCGCTCCGCTCCTCGCACCTCGGTACGTTTTGACGGTAAGTATAGATTTCTCAGAGATGAGATATTTTCTAGCAATGAAAAGTATCCTATATATTGACTCGGATAACCAGCTATCACCATACCAAATTTCATCAAAATCCCTCTAGTGGTTTTTCCGTGATACGCTAACAGACAGACAGACAAACAAAAATTCTAAAAACTTTAGATTCGGCGTCTGTATCTATAATAATGTTTATTTCAATAAGATTTTCCAAAAAATATTTAACGTACAGATTCAGTTTAGTTACAATTTTATTATATGTATAGATAACTAATACTATGTGCAGAAATAAAAACTATACACACAATATCGCCATAGTGCACATTCATACTATCGTAAAGCTGTAGTTATCAAAATATGTGAACGTGACATGTGTGACATTTTAATATAAAAATTTAAACAAAAACAATCAAAATCATGTTACATTGGTTTTATTGTTTCGTTGTTTTTAGCCATTGTTTTATTATTGCTATAAAATAGACATAACATGAGCTTTTGAAAGCTTCATTAAGCTTCAAATCAAATGAACTTTAGATTGTGTACATTTTATTAGTTTGCCTCTCTTTGGAAGTCTAGTTATTTTGGTAGCCATACGTGAGAAAATCTTTTAATAAAGTTTAATTTATCTGAGTTAAGCTATGAAATGAATGGAAAATTAAAAAATATATCGTAATAACTGAAAAAACCAAGCTAGATACATGAATATTCCGACAGATGTATGTTTTCTACTAGAAATCTTAAATGCAAACCGTCCACCTGCTAAGTTATCCTGTGAATTGCGGTGATTATTATTATTAGTAGTAGTAGTCCTGATTTTTTTTAATATAATATTTTCCATTTAAAAAAAAGCAAAAGTGCTTTAATTACTGGTAATTAAGAATACTTTTTAGGCTGTATGTTATATAATCTTCACCTTAAATTATTG